ATAACATCAAGTTTCTAGGACATGTTATTGGAAAAAATGGAATTAAAACAGATGAAAGACTGGTAGACAAAATTAAATATTTCCCAGAACCTACTAATCTTAGACAACTAAGAGGATTTTTAGAAATTGCCTCTTATTACTGATGATTTATAGAAGGATTTTCCAAAATTGCCAAACCTTTGAACCAGTTACTGAAGAAAGATGAACCTTATTTGTGAACAGAAAAACATCAACAAGTCATTGATATTTTCAAAAATTATCTTATCTCAGACTCTATCTTACAACTCCTAACTTTAATCGACCTTTCTATCTGCATACCGATGCTTCAATCTCAGGATTAAAAGCAGTTCTATTTCAACTAAATGATGACCACAAGGAATGTCATTGCTTATGCTAGTAAAAGTTTAAATAATGCTGAACAAAACTATCCTACTACTAACTTAGAATGTTTAGCCATTATATAGGTCATTGAACACTTTTACCAATATCTAGAAGCTAAACATTTCTTTCTTATTATTGACCATTCTGCCTTGCAATAGTTAAAAACTTCCAAGCTTAAAGGAAGAAGAGCTAGATGGGTTATGAAACTAGAACCCTATAACCTTACTATAATTCATCATCCTAGAAGAAAGCATAACAATGCTGATGCTTTATCAAGAATGTATAAACAAGAAGCCAACATATTCTAACAGAAGATGAAGATGAATTTCCTTCTGAAACTGTAGCCCTCCAAATTGCTATACAAAGAAGATTAGCAAGAATAGAATCTCCTTTGTACCAAAACCAACAACTTGAACAATTAGCTACTATATTAAGACCAAACTTACCTCTTGTTGCAGAACAGGTACCAAACCCTATACCAAACTTAAAGTATTTACTAATAGCTTTAAATGTGATAATGGACCATTATTTAATTGGAGTTATATCTAACAACTCTCACAAAAATATAGAAGAAATACTGAAAAGAATAAATACCCAATTAGTTAGAAAGGGCTCAATACCCAATGTTGGTGTCAAAATATTCACTTATGCCCTTAATCTACCTATTACCAATGTGAAAAAAATTGTTCTATATGAGCAACTCTGAAGAGAACCTCCTTAAATATCATTATTAGATGCTTCCCAAAACAGATTTCTGTTTCTAGAATTGAAGATGAAGAAGTTGAAATCTTTTATATAATCATCATGAAAGATGTTGAAGAACTTCTACAAATATACAAAATACAATGGACCTATTCGATTATCAAAACATAATGGAAACCCTTGCACCAACCCTACCTAAATATATTACTACCTCCTTGCAACCCTATCCAAATATAAAATTTAGTTAAGAAAGAATCCACTATGGAGGAATGCAGTATACCTGGTTCTATATTGAACATATCAGTACTCGACTATCCCAAAAATCTAATAGAAGAGACTGGCCTAAAGATTGGAAAGAACCAACAGCTCAATGTTGATGTGGAGATAAACTTTACTCACTATCTAATAAATGCTCCAAATGTCATATTGACCTCTGGTTATGGCATATAATTAAACAATGTTCTTTAGAAGAAATTACTAAATGTTACTGGCCTACATCTGATGATGAAAACCATGATACCTGGGATGACCTTATTAAAAAAGCTGACCAAACCCAACCTGAAATAAATCTCATCGATAACACCCCAATTGAAAATCTTTTCACAAGACCAAAAAGTAATAACCAGTATCTGCTAAGTGATTATGATCCTAATAAAGAAATAGATACTTTTAGTAATATAAAATTTGATAACTCTGATGAATTTAATATAGAAATAACATTAGTTGATGAACCTTGGTGGTTTCTTTCTTTAGAAACTCCTTTCTCAGAATATTATTTAGAATTTAATAACTACTCAGAATACTATTTATATAATGTAGTTTGGTGATGAGTAGTTAATCCAACTTATTATTATTAGTTATTTTATTTATATATTATATTTAAATTTTATTAAAAAAAAAAAAATAGACAAAAAAAACAAAACCAAAAAAAAAAAGATAAAAACAAATAATAACAAAAAAATATATACAAAAAGAAAAAAAAAGACAAAAAAAAAAATAATAATATATATATAACAAATTAAAAACCAACATCTGACATTCTATCTTTATTATTATTATCCCTTTCCTTTTTTCTTTTTTCTGCCCTTAATTTTCTCAACTCCTCCTTGTCATTGGCCAACCTTGCTCTCAACCTATTTCTTTTCTCTAACAACCGAGTATACCTTTGCTCTAATATTTACCCATTCTGAATCCTTACAACTATATTCGCCCTCAACTCTTCCAATTCTGTCTCCAAGCTCTCTATTCTTCTTCTTAATGAGGCCACCAACTGATGTAAACTGTAACCAAGTTTTGTTAAGCAACAAAAAAAAGAAGAAAAGAAAACAAGAAAATTTTAAAAATAATATTCACCACCTATTCTTAACTTGGACCACCCCTAAAGACTCATATAAGGCATTGCTGCCATTTTAGCAAGCATGACGAACATTCCTAGAAAGATTTTGGTAAGGCATTATTATTGTTATTATTGTTGTTATTAATGTTGTTAAGATTGTTGTTATTAAAAATTTTACAAAAAAAAAAAGAGGAGTGATAAAAAAAAAAAATTATTATAATTTTTAATAGACAATAGTGAAACAAAATTAGACATCAATGAGAAGTTAATTTACCAAATTTAGAAATCAA